GGAGTTTCCTTGCAAACGTGAGGGAAGTCCAACGCAGTAATGGTCTGGTTGGTTTGCAAAAACAACTTCTGAATGATATCTTGAAAAGCAAGAACCCCATAATGGTTGGTTCTGTTGATGAAGGGATCACTGTGATACAAGAAAGACTTTGCTGTAAAAGAGCACTTGTCATAATTGACGATGCAGATGATCTACAGCAACTAAAAGCAATAGCTGGAGCTCGTGATTGGTTTGGTCCTGGAAGTAGAATTGTCATTACAACAAGAAATAAACATTTGCTAGAGCAAGTTGGAGTGGATAGCACATATATGGCTGAAGAAATGGATAAGGAAGAAGCTCTAGAGCTCTTTAGTTGGCATGCCTTCGGAAGTGGCTATCCTAATCAAGAATATCTTGACCTCTCAAAACGTGTAATTTGTTACTGTCAAGGCTTGCCACTAGCACTTCGAGTTGTTGGATCTTTTCTGATTAAAAGATCCATAGCGGAGTGGGAAAGCCATTTGGAGAAATTGCAAATAAGTCCTGATGGAGATATTCAAAAAATATTCAAAATAAGCTATGACGGGCTACCTGATCATGCAACGAGAAAGATATTCCTTGATATATCTTGTTTCTTTATAGGAATGGACAGGGACTATGTAACACAAATATTAGATGGATGTGGCTTCTCTGCAGTGATAGGAATTAGTGTCCTCATCGAACGGTGCCTTGTAACTGTTAGTAAGCAAAACAAGCTGAAGATGCATGATTTGCTTCGAGACATGGGAAGAGAGATCGTTTATGAAAATGCCCATGGTCACCCAGAAAAATTTAGTAGATTGTGGAAACGTGAAGATGTAACATATGTACTGAGCGATGAATCTGTAAGTACTTTCCCAATGCATCATGCAAGAGAAGCATATGTATCCCGTGTCCATAATAAATTAAAATGTCCTTTTCCATTTCTTTATTTTTTTTGTTTAGTACAAGCGCTAAATCAAAATAAAAGAGGGAGTTCTCACACATCCACACTACCAAGGTGCCATATGAATTTGAACCTGAGACTTTAGTCTACAAGTTTAGATCATTTTTCACTTCGCTAGACCGTGTTGATCAAAGCTCAATTAGGCATAACCAACAAAAAATATGTGCTTTGATTGCAAACACTAACTATAGGGCTTAACATGGTCCATTTCTATTAGGAATTATACCTTTTAGTTAATACATACACGGATTTTCATGTTCGTAAATCATTTTTCTAATTCGGTATGTTTTGTTAACAGGGAACTGAAGAAATTGAAGGAGTTGCTCTAGATTTGCGTGGGAATTTGCATGGAGATTTGCGTTGGGAATTGAATCGAGATTTGACTAGATTCAGTGCACAAGCATTTACCAACATGAAAAAACTGAGGTTACTCCACCTCATCAACGTAGAGCTCACTGGAGAGTACAAAGATTTTCCCAAAAAGTTAATATGGTTGTGCTGGCGTAGATTCCCATTAGAGTCCATTCCAGATGACTTTCCTATGCAACCAAAACTAGTT